TACAATAATCATGTTCACAAACGTGCAGATCAAGTTTCTCAATGTTTCATATGAAACAAAAATTACATCAGGGCTTTGTTAATGAACCTTTGGACCAGAAACAGTTTTTTTTTCTTCTGTAACTACAATTTATTTCTCACAAAATAATGATTTAACATGGATTCCTTTTGAAATTATTTTTTCAGGCAGTTTTCTCCATACAAAAATAATTTCGTACTGGGAAAAATATTTGAAAAGTTTTTTTTTTTTCCTTGTATGAAGTTGATAACATATATCCTAACAAATAATTACATGTTGTAAAAAATATCCTATTTATTGGGTTGAATACTTCCACAGAACCATTATCATATTAGACATTCAAATGATCTCACAATCTCTGAATTCATTTTGGGATTGCTCGAAGATGTACTTGTACAAAAATATGTAAATAATAGGCTATCTGTTCACTGATACAGTAGAACGTCGATTATCCGAAATGTTCGGTTATCCGAACCTACTGTGTGTCCCCCAAAGTTTGTATGCAGGTCTGGCTGTGTTCCGTATAATACAAAAGTCAACTGTGAACAATAAATACTAGTCGTCTTGTGTGATTTCCTGGTGCAACACTTTCAATAAAGCTGTTATCAACATGTAATCCGACGTCTTTCACGTGTACGTTCATTGTTTACAGTGTCTGCGCAAACAATGAAACGGATTACAGTAGCGAATAATTTCCTAAATTCAGACAAGCCTATTACGCCACACCAGTGTTCCACTGTAAATAAAAAATGTCCTAAAAAACACAAACTTCATCAAATGTCTTCTCCACTGTTTACAGTCAGATCCTTAACTTTACCAAGTTGTAAGTCACTGCAGTTCGGATACGTTTCCGGGAAAAATTGTACGGGGATCCACTGCCGTCAAAGAAACACGGCCATGAGCCGATCCCATGTTTTTTCCGATTTTTAATTTTAATGTCCAGTATCAGAAGTACATCCTTTTCGTAATAAAAAAAGAAAGAAAATAACTTCTGGGATGTCTTGCCACAGAAGCGACGCCAGTTTAATAGTGCAGTGAAAAAGAGAGACGAAACGACAACCCCTTGGTGTGCCTCTTTGATGGTTTATCAGCAGACAACGGCAACCAATGACCACAGTCGGGGGGCCGTTTGATGGTTCACAGCGTCGAAGTGTTTACGTCCGATGATCACAGTAGCCAACCTGGATTTTTACAACAATTTATTATAGGTCAATCGTTCTAGTTGTTAAAAACTTTGCTGAATCCAATAAAATTGGGACATCTTGTAGCAGTTTACCATTCGAAAATCCATGAGCAATCTGGTAACATCGAGGCGATCTATACACAGCGAATACGAAGCGACCTTTCACCTGTTTACTTTATCAGCGTCTTTTATCTAGGGTTGGCATGGCTACCCCCAGTGAAGTGTAAACGCGGTGTGTTTGATTTGGACACGAAGGTGTCAATTATAAATCGACTAGAACGTGGCGAAACCGCAAGCAATCTATCTACCGAGTATGGTGTTGGTAAATCGACGATAACCGATATCAAAGCAAAACAAAAGCTGCTGGATTTTTTCAGTAAAATGGATTCAAGTGCAGGACTGAAACGAAAGATAACGAAAACAGCCTATGACGATCGTTCAGAGAAATCCATCTTCACTTGGTTCCAGGACTTGGTTTTCCCAAGAAAGAAACAAAGAAACTTTATTATCGCTACATTTTACGGACATTTTGAAACATTTTTTAACATTCCAGCATGCAACATTTTTATTACAATGTATTACTGATTAAATAAAATTGTTTTTAATGACGTACTCTACATGTACTATTGTTTGATTTCATTACAGTCATGTGCGTTAGAATTTGTGTGTACGTGAGCCTGTAAACTTGAGCACGCCCACACAGGATCGCATATCCGAACTGTTTGCATAACCGAACAAAAAGCATGTCCCCCTAACAGTCCGGATAATCGATGTTCTACTGTATTAATAATTCAACCACTCAGAAAATCTAATTCGAACAATCCCGCATGTTTTACACATGCATCTGTCTGGCATAAGAATAATCCAAAATAAGCAATATCACCACCTACTAACACATGTGATGGTATATCATAATAAAGACATTAAGATGCGTGTATGAGAACGGGTACGTCATTCTTTGTGCATGACCTCTGTAAGAACCAATGATGTCATCAGTTGCCAGGTCGTACGGCGGTCATTTTGAACGTGATCAAGGCGAGTGACTCGTAGTTGATTTCCGTGAGATTTTCTCGCTGTCAATTTCGATTAATTTTTACTGACATTGATGGAACGTATTATATTAGAGTGATTTGGTAAATTTATGCTGAAATGAGAAATATTAGATGCATTTTAGCTGATATTTACACCTACCGAAAAAATACACAACTGGTCTGCTCGTTATGTAAACAAAGCAGATGGCGCCGGGTATTTATATTCACTTTCTCAAAAGGTGACGTGAAATGACATAACAAATTTTATTGGATAGTTATATTATGGTTGCCCACTGAGAGACAGATTCTGTTTCAGTTACGTTTCCATTGTGGGCACTTGTACTTAATCGTTTTCTGTCACGAGTACGTAGCGCAAGCGAAATTAAAACAACAAGTTGTGTTCCTGCTACGTATGCAAATCTTACTCTCTAATAATAACAATGAAATCCCTATAGTGTTGATTGTTACTTTCTAATATGGTATGACGCATATATTAGTACTTACATCACACAGAGGCTTCACAGTAACTACAGCATAACTGGCTGGATCTCTTTCAACTATGCACGTCTCTGTCAAAGCTAACACTCGCTTCACAGGTTCCGGATGCCTGTTTGTCAATTTCTGTACGCTGAACTCTGCAAGTGATGTTAGGCTTTCATCATTGCTAAAAACAAAAGAATTGAGTAGTGAAGACTGTATAAAATGTGAAAGAATGGACCAATGGGTAATGTAAATGTTTCAATATACATAGTTTGAAATCAAATGACATTTAGATCCAACTAAATGATATCTTGATCAAATCAAAGGATATCTAGATCAAATCTAATGATACCTTGATCAAATCAAACAATATCTTGAACTAATCAAGGGATACCTTGATCAAATCGAAGGATATCTTAATGAAAGCAAACGATATCTAGACCTAATCAAATGATACCATAATCAAATCAAAAAATATTTAGGTCAAATTAAATGACACCTGGATCAAATCAAACAAAAGTAACTGTTGAATTTTAATCGCATATCAGCACAGCGACCGTATTTCAGATAGTACTTACCCATACTTTCCGAGTCGATGAACTGCAAACTGTTCAAAAGTGATCGGATCTTTTCGTAATCTTAACGAAATACCAATATGGTTACCAGAGTATTCTATGGCTAACTTTATCAGTTCGTCACGCTGTTCACTAGCAAACAAATGCTAGATGGAAAAGAAAGTTGAAATTTTTTTAAATTGCTCGCAAATATTCAGACTATAATATAAAAACAAAGATGATAGCCTTATTGATTATTTGACAATACATTTGTGATACAAATGTATTTAAATGTTACAACATTAACAATATTTTAATTTACATAACATGATTGGAATGAGATCTTCCATGTACACCATCATGAATGATACATAGCCCTTATCTTTATCCGCCTTTGATCAGTAGATTTTGATGAAATAATATGAATAAAATTGTCAGTATATCAGAATGAATAATAACATTATTAGGATATTTATTTATAAATAAAGAAATAAACAAGTTAGCAGTGTGAAAATAAACTCACTGGATTGAAAGCATCTATTAAACTTACCAGTCGAGAGAACCCTCCATGTATTATGGCAAATCCACCAGGATAATCTGACAACTAAAATTAGAAAAAAAATAATAGTAATTATGATTATATTGGGAACTTGATCAAACATATAGTGTTCATTGATAAACCGACCACTATAAAACTCACTAGTGTAATTCCTATTTTTTCAAACCATAAA